GCAAATTGCTGATAACTAAAATTAGTTTTCAATTTCATAAAAAATGAAAGACAATGTCGTACTCTTTGAAGCGTTTGGAAATGTCAAGTTTGCCAAGTCACACCCCGATTATAACTGCCCTGTCCCTGACATTAACCTCTCTCGTTTGGGCTGAAGCTTCCGTTTCTCTTTTTTTATTGATCTCGTCAAGCCTTTGATTGTCGTGGCTCCATCCAGGCAAGTCCACATCTGACTGGGAAACACTTCAATGGAATTGTATCTCTGTTCCATTTGGCCTGAACTCCACTGGACACATCACAGTGCAATCACTGGCAAAAGGGTTAAGAAAGCAATCCTTTTGCAAATATCCTCAGAGGAAGATGAAAATTGCCTCCTTTATTTCCAATTTTTAAAACGTATTTTCAATTATAATATCTTAAAATGATCTTACATAATATCTTTGTAGACGTTCACCTAGAAAATACAGTCACTGCACTTTACAGTGTGTTGGGTGAAGCGCTTTAAGGCATCCTTCCAGCTGTGAAAAGTGCTGCGTCAAAATGTAAGGGTTATTATAAGGATTATTAAAGGGATTAGAAGGTTTACTTTGCCCTTAGCATTCGAGGAAAGCTGCCACGCTGGTAATAATATCTTGATCAGTTGTGAATTGTAGCTTTACATCTTTTAATACGAGATTGTCAGATCCCTCGTAAAGGGATATTAAATGTCACAAATGTGTGCTTCGTACACTGTGTTAAAAGGGCTTGCAAAAGAATACACTCAAACAGTCTATTGATAATGAGACGTGAGAAGGAACCATTTTATCTCTCTGAGCATGAGCCTTACCACCAGACCTACCAACCTGACACCAAAGGGGACATGACTTGTGCTACATGGGAGGGAAAAGAGCAATGCCTCGGATCCGTGATACAACTCACCCTGTGGATTTGGTCCCTCTGCTTAAAGGGGCGTTGCATTCGTCTGGACTGCTGCATAATCCTACATGAAGGAAAAATGTATGTCGCACTGTAGTTCTGAGTGGCTTTCCTCCCCGTTAACTTTGCTTGTGAAGAAATTACATTTGAGACACAGATGTTGTTAGAATTTACACTTTTTGTATAATGTTAGAATCACAGTAGATGTTGCGAACGGGTTAACTTTTAAGTTAAGTGTGTTGTGGGCAGCGGGACTGAAACTCCCTACACGTACACGAGATAACGGACTGTCTCAAGGACAGTGTGTTTGTGTGTGTGAGGCACGTACACCCCATGAGATGTTCACGTGAACCCGGCATGATTTTGACCTGGTGATCTAATGTCCGCACCACGATTGGATGAACATTGGTATAAGAGTTCCGATACCTTTGTGTACGTGGCCGACCCGGGTCGTGGAGACATGGATACGGGAGATGGAGCCGTCCCGGGTCACGGAGACAAGGATAAGGGAGATGGAGCCGTCTCGGGCTGCGGAGACAAGTGTACGGAGATGGAAGACTGAAAGCTGGAAACACTAAGACTGAGGATATCAGATGGAAGATTGAAAGCTGTAAGCAAGAAGACTGAAAGCATGAAGAATCAAACTTGTGTGCTGGAAAGACACAGTGTTGAACTCGAGATATCCATAGTGGTGTTATTCTGTTATAAGATCTGTTGATTGTACGGCCTTTGGTCTGACCCATCGGGATATTGGGGAATAACGAACGAATTATAATAAAACAGTCTGATATCTGGTTAGAGGAATTAGCGTTATTTCCTTGCAGATTTGGCTGATTTTATTTTCTAACAATGTTACCGCAGTTGTGTGTCAGCTCGGCTCAGTCAGTAGCACACTCACTCTGTTAGAAGGTTCAAGTGCCATGTAGTGACTTTGAGCTCATAGTCTAGGTTGACACTCCAATGCAGTGCTCAGGGGAGTGTTTTATTATTGGAGGTGCCATCCTTCACAGGAGACGTGAGAGTGAGGTCCCATCTGCCTGTTCAGGTAGATGTTAAAGATCCTAAAGAGATGGGAGTTTCTCCCGATGTCCTGGACAATAATCCTCCCAGATACAATTGATCGTTCAATTCAACGGCTATTCATGTGACTTTGCTGTGTGAAAAATGGCTGCCACGTTCATCTACAAAATACAGTCACAATACTTTAACTGTCTATACTGCAAAGTGCTTTGAGATATTGTCTCCCAGATGCGAAAGTTGTGATATCAAATGCAGAATTATTATTATTATCATTTAACCATATGTTGTTTCCATAGAGGAGAAGTACAATTATACATGGAGACAACACAAAAATGTCCACTGCCTCGTGCAAGTCTAAACTGCAGAATCAAAGGCATATTCAGAGACGTCTAGAAGACGTGCTAAGGTGCTACAACAAATGCAAAGATTATTATTATTATTATCGTCATCTACACAGGATTTTGAGAATTCAGACGAATAGAATTCCCTCCTCTTTTGATACGAACAGGAGTCATTAATATTTGAAACAAATCTGCAGAGAAGCAATATGCTGGTTTCAGGTTATGTACTAGAATTCACAGTATGTGGGATCGATTCAGAATGTCCCAGCCTGGATGTAGAAAGCTCACAAGCTATCAGAAAGGAACAGTTAACATTGTAATAACACTGTTTCCTGCACAGCAGTGCAGCACTCATCTATTCTGAATTCACAGATAACTGCAACCAGAATAGTTTTTTTAAAAAAAAGTCTGTTCTTCATTGAGAATCAAAATAATTAGATTTTTTTAATTACGATTCCATTATTTGCTGATTGAAATAAAATACCTCGCAAATGAATAGATGAGTTGCGACATGGCCCAAATAACAGGATTTATCCAATCCTCCCCCTCTCTCCCACCTCCCCGCCCCTCCCCCCACACCGTCAATACCTTATTCCACTTAGAGTACACAAATTGCGGGATTAATTTACAGCGCTTACCTTTCACCTCTCAGATTTTGCCTCCTCCGTTCCTATTCGACCCAAAGCTGTGTGTTGTTTTTGCCGCTGTACCTGTGAGGTAAAGCTGACAGTGGAAATGTCTTTCAATATCCACCCCCCTACCCCATGTACAGCAGTAATCAAGATGGATTTAAGGCTAATTACCAGCTTTCTTCTGCCTGTTGGCTTACAATGCTGCTCATTCACACATTAAAATTCCCTGACAGCTGCATGCAGAAAGAGTGGCTAAGCTACCAGCAGGGCTGATAAGGCTTTAGTGCACAATGCCTTCTTTATGTGTGTGACGGAAGTCTGAGTATTGATCAATCTGCTATTTTTTTTCTTTAAGAAAAACGTAGGGTCGAGGATGTGGTAAAATGCTACGTTTAAACAGACACAAATGTGTGCTGAATTATTTGCGTTCGCCTCGAAGGTCGTTTTTAAGTACGATAGGTGTGGAAGTTACAAGTTCAAAACGGGTTTTGCATTCACGAGAGAGGACCCATGTCTGGGCTTGTACCTCTTATCCCGTGACTGAAGCTGTGAAGCTTTGAATATTATATGGATTTATATAGGAGTTAATGTTAAGGGGCTTTTACCAAATGAGATGTTTGCCAAGCGCAAAAGGAGTAATTCAAATTGTGCAAGTACAAATAATAGTAATAAATCTTGCCCTGTCACTTGGCCTAACCCCCTCTCTATCTAGCCACAAATAAACAAACCTCTTGGACGGCCCATCTCAGCCCCCCCCCCAACCCACCCCCACCAGCTTGGTGTCCGACCAAACAAATACACAATCATCCACATAACAATATGTACTGTAAAGCGCTTTCGAATGTTTTGAGATCATAAGCCGTTCTGTCAAATGCAAGGATCATTATTAATAGAATCGCAATACGCTATGTTCCACCACAGCGTTCTCTCTCGTGTCTGTACGTATGTACAGCAATAACTTGCATTTACATAGCGCCCTGCCTACACGCATGATTGGGTCTCGGAGCGCTGAGATAGCAGAGAGCTTAAGTACACACAGTATTTAACCCTTATCAAGCCATCTCAAATAAATACAGTTGAATTTGAGCTTGACTAAACCGAGATCGCTTTGCTGATTAAGACGGAGGTGTTGAGTGGCAAGACGATAACACACAGAGCAAAGGCACTTGGTGATGTTATCGCTCTCCCGGGTTGAAATTGTGTGGGGAAAAAAAAATGACCGAAGTTGATGGCAAGGTTAACCAAACAGGGAAGAAGTCTGCTTCAGGGCTGATTATGAAACAATAAATAATAATAATCATTGCATTTACAGCACTCCCAGCACTGCATTGAAGTAAGTTCAAAGTGCCCAACTTGGGGCTTGAACCTTCAACCTTCTGACTCCGAGACGAGAATGCTACCAACTGAGCCTCTATAAGCGGAACACATAAATGCGTGGCAGAGGCTGGATACAAGGAACATCGCTCTTTAATATAAGCCGAGTCATAATTTTTTTTAGCGTACATTGACACCAAATTGCTATCCTCCACAGTAATTTATTATACCCTTTGTCTACAGTCACTCAGCAGAATCGGGATCATACTGTCACTTAAGCGAGCCCCAGCAAGCAGCAGGCTGTAGGTGGTAGGGGAGTCAAAGATCATTTCACTCCGAAACAATTCAAAGGCCTGGCGTCTTCTGTTGCCGCTCGATGCAACATTTTGAAAGCTCTGGCTTCCTCCAGCTGCCCAGCAGGAAAGCTTAAAGTTCAATTCGACCACATGAAGCAGCGTTCATTATTATCCATGATTTAACAGGACATCTGAAGACAATAACACGGAGGGGGCATTACCTGATAACATTTGATGTGACAATAAAGACTCTGGAGTAACTTGTTTGCTTTGCGACTGCTGCCATAGGGTAATGTGCAGCAAAGTGCTTTGCTTGGGACCGTTCTGTGCTCTTAACGTTTTGTCCTGCGGTCAGACAGTTGGACCTTAATTGTGAAATCGTGACCTCAATCGCAACTTCTTTAAACATCACCTTAAGATCTGCCTTAAGGACCCAATAAGTCTTATTTTCACGTGTATTTTTCCTTGTTTCTGCTGATGACTTTTTGGGGCAATGCACCTGGAAGATTGACTACAGTCATTCTAATCTCTGACACAGAAAGGGCATTCAATCAGATTATGTGAAAGCAAAGTTCAAACTCTAGGTAGCGTAACCTCATTTTACACATCCTCTGGATAATATCCGAAATGTTGGGCAAGTTTCCATACGCCACACGCCTCTGTTTACCTAGCAGTAAATAGGAACCCGGTTGTTAGTCAATTGGTATGTTGCTTTCCCGGGATAATAACCCCTTCAAAAAATAATAATAATTATAATTTGATCACTCAACTGTTTACAATTATAATTTGATCACACGACTGTTTGTGGGACACTGCTGTGCGCAATTGTGTAATTACTGTATGCAATTGGATGCCGAGTTTCGCCCACAAAACATACGTTCACTTTACAGTATATTCTGTGAAGCACTTTGAGATGTGATAAAGCGCTATATTAATATCAAAAGTATTATCCATGCAAATGGCCTATACTACGATACAATACAAATGTACATTTATGTAGCACCTTTCACAACAGGAAGACATCCCAAGGCGTTCGACAGTTATTACACAAAAATCTTGATTTGTGTTTGAGCAATTCATATAACTATAAGAACAATAATAATAATAATCCTTTGATTGGATGTATGTACATCTTATTGTGTCATTGACAAGTGTATTTGAGTAGAAGCGCAACAATTTGTGGGCAGAAATGTGAATGACCAATTTCATCCAAGATGATTGTTGGCCAGGACAAGGGGTGAAACTCCCTTTCTCTTTCCAAATAATGTTGTGGGATATTTAACGTCCACCTGAGCAGGCGGACCTGGGTTTTAATGTGTGATGCGAAAGACGGCACCTCAGACACTGCTGCACACACAGTAGGTCCGAATTGACAGCGTTGAAAGTGAAGGACGCAAAATAAATGTGTCATTCTGTGTTATTTTCAATTTTCCTCCTACGTAACCGAAAGCACTGACTGGTGCAGCAGGAATAATGTTGGGGTAACTCTTACAATGCATTACAAAGATGGAGTGAAATGTGGACGTTTTTTCTAACTGATTTGATGTGACAATGTGCTGTTCGCAACATCGAACATGTTAAGAAATGCCGTAGATTTCTATTGTCCATGTTTGTCATCGGGCTCAATGACCTCTTCTCCTTTCCCTCTCCAACTTTCCTGTGCTTTGAATGCGTGAACAATAAGCACTAAAACATTCAGAATAATCCGAAATATTCGAAAACATCACACGTACATCTCGTGGTAGGGGGTCTGAATAACCCCAAAGATCATCTGTGACTGGTTTGTGGTTTGGTTTGTGCCAGAATCCAATACTAAGATCAGAATTATGCTTGGCTCAACATGTTGCCTTTATCTGTATTTTGCTTAATAAAAACAGAAAATGTTGGAATTCCACAGCAGGTCAATCAGCATCTGAAAGAGAAAGATAGACTAACAGATTACATGAAAGCCCTTTGTTGGAACCTGAAACTTTAATCCCTTGGTCTCTTTCAGACGAGGGGGGCTTGTTACCCAGTTGCACTTCCTTCTGCCCCCTTTTTGTTTGTGTTTTTTTTAGATTTTTTTGTTTTTATTCATTACCGAAATATCGAAATTTACAGCACAGAAGAAAGCCTAAGCAATATCTAAGCGTTTTACCATTGCTAAGCCTCTGAGTCACAGTAATTTTCACAACTAGTGACCGTTCTAACGCATTGGTGCTTTGGCTCGCAGGGTTGAGGGCATGTCTGCACCTCCTTAATGAACCTGGCCGTATCGTCAATCATTCAAAGAATCAATGAATTTTACACACAATCCCATGAAGGTTCGGATGAAGAAGGCCCTTGGGTCCATTTGATCTCATCTTTCCAACACACCCACTTGCCTGCCATCCTCCATCACAGTGTCACATCCATTCACTATCACATCCATCACAGCATCAAGCTGTTTTTCGACTGATCCCCACTTCCTGACCTCAACCATCCTTTGCGATGGCCTGTTCCAGTTATAAATTGCCCTCAGGGGGCAAATGAAACACTTCTGGGTGTCTGTCCTGTAATTGCCCTTTGCAACTCGAAACCTGTGCCCTTTTGTTCTGCTGTTTTGGTGAATCCCAAAGTATTGTTCTGGGCTTACTCTCTCGACCCCATTTAAAGTCTCGCATTCTTCCATAAGGTCTCCTCTGAGCTGTCACTTTCCAAGACTGAGCTTGTCTAAAGCAGCTCCCAGATAGCAAAGCAAAGTGATCCATTGGTCCAGTTGTTTCTATTAAGAAAAACAACACAGCATGTCCAGAGAATGAATCATTGCCTTAGCACATGTTCCCTCTAACTGAACAGTCATTAAAAAGGATGTCTATTAACTTACAAAAGACTATATAACCATGGAATAAACATGGGACTTAATATGTGGTTGCAACCAACAGTTTAAATTAGCATTTGCTTTAATATAAAGCCTGGCAGGAAATCAGGTGCTCTGTTAACTCCTCCATTGTCCTGCCATGTTAAAATAAATCTAAATCTGTCACCACGACTCAATTTCTCTTTTCTGTGGTTGATCAGTGACTGGGAACTCCGTGCAGAGATTGAGATCAAGCATCTGTTCCCCTAAATGAAGCTGATTAAAGCAGTTTGTGCATTTCTTCACTCCTCAAATGGCTTTACCGTATAGGGTTGGCCTATTTTTGGCAACTGTGCAGCCTCGTGTGGCCAGCCAACAAATCCCCAGGAAAGTTAAAGCAAAGACTTGGGGTTTCACATGTCTTTGGCTACCAATACACATTCTTTAAGATGGGCAGTGGTTATATATCACTTGTTATCATCAACGGCAAGGATTATTATCGCATCCAAACACTTCACAGGTAATTATTGTGAAGTGTAGCGACTGCTTTTTGGTGCCAAACAGCGAAGCTATTTGCATCAGTGAGTCACAGACAGCCACAAGGTGAATGATGATGATAATAATAATCCTTGCATTTGATATAGTGCCTTAACCCGTCTTTGAGACGTCTCAAAGCGCTTCACAGAATACACTGTGAAATGAATTGACACAGTGATGTCCCTCAAAGAGTCATGAATAGATTGGTTAAGTTTAATGGGGGATTGTTCACCAGGACAACGGGAGAAACTCCCTTCTCTTTTAGTGGGACCTCGGTTTAATGTCTCATCCAAAGGGCAGTACCTCCGACAGTAACAGCGGTCCCCGAGCTTTGCACTGAAACAGCAGCCTAGATTATGTGAGTTCAACGTCCCGAACTGGGCACCTTCACAAATGTATGATTCTGGAGTATTAAAGGAAATGAACGGCATTACATATTCACCCAAGAAAAGCCAACTTTTCTTGGGTCAAATTTTCCAAAGCAAGTTTGACGTTAAAAAGAAACTCTTTAAATTTTATTGTGTGAAGTAAAGCAGACTTTGCTGGCAAATAAGGTCGGAATGCAAATGGTTTGTGACAATTAAAATGGCTCTAACACAAAGTTCTACACTGTTCAGTGAGCAGGTTCATTTTACCAGAGAACAAAATGTAAACCAAGGTGCTACTTGAGAAGCTGCCTTTTCAAAATAATTTTCCAAATAATTTATGAAATACAATTTTTTTTCTTTCTACATGGCCCAGAGCCATGTGATCTGCCATTTATCATTCGACCTCAAGCAATGTTTCCATGTAATGTTTGTAGTTTTCAATGAGCTAAAACTGTAAATCCAGCAGCCAACTTGCGCACAGCAATGTCTCACAAACAGCGGTGAAGTGAGTGACCAATTTTATCTGGGGCGTTGTTGGCCAGGTCACAGGGGAGAAACTCTATTCTCTGTCTCATTGGATGGGTTTGGGTGAACCCTAAGTTCCCTTTGGCCCATTTTGATCTTGTCCTTCCGGGAACACCCATTCCTGCTGTCTTCCCATCACTTTTCATTGGCATTCTCCTTAGGACCAGTACACCAGGGATTATGACAGTGTGGGTTTATATGCCATTAAAACTGTACAAAGTTACTTGTGGTGGAATGTCATCCCGTAGAAACCTCAAATGAGCAAGATAAGAGGGCATGAGGGTGTGAGTCAAAAGCTTCTCTGCCAATATCATTGCTCATATTCCTAATGGTGCAGTTTCAGTACGTGGCTTTATTCCCAATTCAATGTGATTTTTCACTTCAAACCCACACAAGCTTTGCAGTTTCAGGAGCTCCTGGTATGACTCAGCGTGGAACCAACGTAGGGAGGGAGTCTTGTATCGGTTTTCTTTACAGTACAGTACTAAGCTGGCTGATTGCAGCTGGTGCAAGGCCAACTTTAGCTTTATAAGTTCCTGGGTGGTCCAATGAACTGTTCATACTGGTCTTATTTTTCCCCTTAACATCGTTAGAGAGACAGAGCCAGAACTGATTCTTTATTAATGATAAAATTAATCAGCATTCTGGCATCTGTCAATGGAGCTGTATGCATATACTTACATGCTGAGCTCAGCTTCACTTGGATTCAGCCCAGAGCAAGAATAGTCCAAAGCCAGCAGTACAACTCCTTGTTGGATAATACCTCTGCCCTATCAGAGAGAGGAGTTACGCTTAAATCGTTTAGAAGTAGCTTTTGACTTTTAACACAACGCCACCTTGTTACATAGGGAATCCTCCGTCTTGGCATTTCCTGAACAGCACAAGGTTAAAACTGTCTTGCATTGTATAAAGAGAAAACAACTGACGCAGCTGTGTATTGTGTATCTTCCCTCTAGGCTTTGATGCTCTGTTAATCAGGTGGAGGGAGCAATGGAGGGAGCAACAGGATACATACCAGGAGCTTAAAAATGGGCAATCAAATGCCAAATCTCACCAGTCTGGTCTCAGCAGTCAAGCAGAAGATGTGGTTCGCTTCTGTAAGTAACTACTTGCGGAATAAAACAACATCTCGTGTTTAACTTCCCATAAATATTCCATGCCTGTTCTTGGAATAAGGGAAATTACAGTACACAAGGGAAGGCCATTGAGTCTAGGCCGGTGTCAGTTCCTCTGCTGGAGTCCAAAGCCCTAACAGGTAGACCGATCTTGACAGTCAGTGTTCATAATGGCAAGCTGCCTGGTTTTAGCTGGTTAAAGTCAAGCGGTTTCTCTCCTTTCCTCCCCCTCGACTCACACACTGGGGCCCCCAAAGCAAATCTGCGACTCATAGTTTCTGGGATTCGGTGAGCAGGTGCTTCCGTCCGGGGAAAGTGAAAGTTCAGCCTCCATTCCAGATTTTTTGGTTGTATTATTCACATGGTCCATACAAAAGAAAATCTAGTTCACCGCACCAATGCTATCATACATGTTTTGTCACTCAACCTGCTTCAACACAGAACGCAGTACACAAATAGTTACGGGACTACTGTATATGAGGAAATTAGACGGAGATGATTTTCGAACTGAGGGGCATTGTGTACAATCAAGGCAACAATTTCTTCTAACCCCTTTCCCCTCCCCCACGCAACATAAATCTAATAAAAATGAACAGCAATCAACAAGCCCACTTCAAAATATTTACTTTCAATTCATTGCTACTTTGGTAATGTACTTTCCTTTTGCTACCTCAAGGTTCAGTGTCTGTTAATTTGCTGCCATTTCCCATCAACAGGATGTTCAGAAGCCTCATAAAAGGAAAAGGTCAATGATGACAATCTCCCTTTCTTCTTCAAATAAGTCGGATAATGGAGACGGAAAGAGAGACCGTCTGTCTTTATATTTTGCCCATTATATCAGTTCTTCTCCAGAGAAGTGCCTTTAAGCTGTTGCTACAAACACTGGGAACATAAAAGTGATGCACGTCTCAGAATGTTAATTTTACTTCTGCTCCAGCAGAGATCAAAGCTTTGTAGATTTCAGCAGAAGGGGAAAAAAAAAGCACTGGTGGAGAATAGAGAGGAGGCAGCAACAGAAGAGCAATTGCCTGGAAATAATGTCAGCTCTCGTTCCTTGCTCTCTTAAAAAAAGCAATGTCGCCAATTAAAAAACATTGGATTTTGTAGATTTTAGACCAAACGTAGTTTTGTTTTATATTGTTTAATATCGCATTCCTGAGGTATATATGCCTAATACTTTCCAGGATTATTAATTATAATAATAATAATTAGGCAAGCAAGATGAATCCCTCCAGGGAGAGAGAGAGAAAGAGCGCATTCTATTCCAACAATCTATCTCTGGGGTTTCCACGTGTAGGTGGGATACAGGGAATTCTCAGTTTGGTTTGGATGCTCTTAAGCAACGGTGATGGGTTTCCGCATGTGTCACAAACCTGGCTGACCAAAATAAATATACCTAAAGAGTGCTGAAATCCCTTCTCTCCTCGGCAAGAACAATTGACGCAAAGCGATCGAGCCAAAGGTGCCACCTGCTGGTGCATGTTTAAATGCTCCTTGAATAAGTTGAAGGACCATTTAAGGAACACCGCAAATTTTACCCCACAAGGTATCCGTTGGACGTCTAATAAGCCTTTGAATGTCACTATGCTGTCCCTGTCCTACCAGGTTAAGTCATGGCTAATAAGGAGCAGGGCTGTTAATGGGATCACATTAGCTGCTCATTCTGCTCCCCTGCGACCATGTGGCACAAGATTGAGCTGTCAGCGCCAGTATTAATGACAGCTATTCCGCTGGGTCAAATGGAGCAAACTGGGGCAGCTCCAGTCATTAGCACAAGTGACACCTGAAGTGCTAAGTGGAACAGGTCAGACAAGTCTTCCTTTGAGTCAAATTCAGGGGAGGGAGCCTCCATGCAGTGATCAGCACAAAAAAAGGTCATTTTTTTTTGCTGATAATCACCGAGCCACTTCTGCCTGAGTAAGTCTCCTCCCACCAGAAATAAAAGAGAGAGAGAGAGAAATATATGGAATGCAATGGATACCTGAAAGTGAATAACACAGCGATAAAGGGTACAAATAGCATCATCAATCACACTAGTAAAGGTTGAGTGGTTTATGGCTGTCATCTGAAGTTGAGGACTGGGTTACAGCTTTAAGTCTAGCAGAGAGTGAATCACTATTTTTATTTATTTTTAAACTGTTTCAATGGCCTGCTTCCTCGATATAATAATAATAATAATCCTTAAATTTGATTCAGCACCTTCCACGTCTTGAGAACGTCTTGAAGCACTTACCAGGGTTTTACTCTAAGGCACAGCGACTGTGTGGTTTGTTGGTCAGCCGATTCACGCACAGCGATGTCCCACAACAGCCACAAAGTGAATTTTATCGGGTGTGAAGTGGGTGATCGATTTTATCAGGTGGGAGGAGAGAATGTTGGCCGAGACACCAAGAGAGAAATTCCTATTTCTTTTCGAACAGTGCTACGGGATTTGTAACGGCCCCTAAACAAGCCTAGACTGGGCCTTGGTTTAACCACTGATCCGAGATGAGGCAAAAATCATCATCATTGTCAGGGTGAGGAAACTGAAGGTCATGTTGTATGTCTGTCTGTTTCACGGTTGATTACAGGAAAATTCACCATCTGATACATCCATTACCTTGGCTCCTCAATAAAACCATTATAAATGCATTTGGCTATAATAAAACACTATAACATTACAAGGAGGTTAATGTATTGTCCTCTGCAGGCACATATTACACATGATTTGGCGAAAATATATCACAAATGTGATAGCGTTTCGAATTACGCCAGTTTAAGATCCCTGTCGGTGTGGTTCAGTGAGTTTATTCAGCCGAGGATTGCACACACGGAAAGTCCTTCTGTGCTCCGAGTGTATGTATTGAGTGAGGGCAGCATTGGATTGAAGTTTGGTTCCCCCCACTCCCCTCCCTGAGGCTAAACATTCAGCCAACAACAACATCAACAACAACTTGCGTTATATAGCGCTCTTCACCCTGAGTATTGTTTCAGAATGCTTAGTCCAGACCCTGCACTGACCCTCAAAGCTCACCTATGACTAACCTGTCAGTCTGGCTCAATTGGTAGCACTCACTCCTCTGAAGCAGAAAATTGTGGGTTCAAGCCCCTACATCAAGACTTTGAACTCGCTCAGTCTAGGCTGACCCTAGACTTGCTGTGGGGTGCGGGGGGGGGTGCAGAGTGCTGCATTTTTCGAGGAACCCACCTTCAGATGAGACGTTAAACCGAGGTACTGTCTGTACCTGTTCGGGCGGACGTTAAGGATCCTGTGGTGCTGTTCAAAAAGCGGAGTTTCTCCTGAGGGATTGCTGGTCAGGGGTTTCAGTTCTGGTCAGTCATCCCTCAGATAAAAATCAGTCACCAAATGCACCAAACAAAATAATTCATATGTGACCACAGATCTGGTTCAGCAAATCCATTTTACTTAGCGCTGTTTATAGTTACTGCAGAGATGGTTTTACCTCCTTGTTGCTGAACAGGTTAGAGTTACTACTGATCTCCGAGACTCTATGACGTATGAGGTACAGCATGAATCCACGCTGGGAACTATGCTTTAGACACAGTTAAAACATGTTGCTTTTTTTTAAAGATATATATTAAGTGAGTGACATGACAACAGGGTGAAGCTGGAGGCATCTATTATAAGGACAGATGTCTGGTGAAATTGCCCCAAGTGCTAGCTCTCAGAGTGTAGATGGAGTAGGAGAGAGTGTGTAGTGGGCTGTGCACTTTGACTAACTGGGGGTGACAAGCCATGGTTGAACTTCCCATTGGAAATTTTTCACTCAGCAAACACTTACCAGTGACAATACAGCACTGTCCGTCCGGTGGGACGTTTGTCAGGCAAGGAGAAGCGATTGAACACAAAGCTTGGATGACGGCATTTGCTGTTGGTATTTTAGCTCTCGAAAGAGGATATTGTGGCGTACAGCTGTGAATCACAGCTTGCTCTGCCGAGTGACTCAAGCATCTGACTTATGTCCTGATAATTGCTTGTGGTGCTGCTCTGGTCAGCAACACTGCCTATGACAGACCAGGCAGCTTGGCTCGTAGGTGCGAGGAGGGGTTGGATGCGGTCAAAGAGATGGCCTTGAAAAAGGGGAGGGAGGGATGGATGGAGGGAGCCAGGCAGATTCTGGGATGAAATTCCAGAGAGTGGGTGAGGAAAGACTGAAAGCCCGACGTGTGAAGCAGGAAATGCTATGTAAATTGAATAAATCTGGATGCAGGTGGATTTTCTGACCACCATGTTCACCCCATTTGCTCTGAAGGCAAATAAATGACCAGATATCAAGCTGTTGTATATTGGTAATTTGCAATGGTAAGGTGGATGTGGACTGAGCTCTGTGGAACCTGGACAGCAGGTTTCAGTCAGAATGGTTAAGATTTTTTTTAAAAAACGAAAAGAAATGATTTTCGTTTGGAAATCCACCAAACAACAAAAAATAAAATTCTTGCATAACTCCCAGATTTTAAAATAATAAAAAAGTCTCTTAAGCAAATAAAGCTGCTTGTTATAACTTGTACGCTCTGGAAGTAACCAGTTTAGTATTACTGTCTTCCTGTATGTTCTTGAGCAATAAAACTTTGAACAAATAAGTTCCAAGTAGATACCAAGTTGTATCAGGCCTCTGTCTTTCCGAAGTTCTGTTATTGTTGGATTCCTTCACCCCTCCAGGATAACATGATAATACGTTACAGCAGAGATATGAGAACTTACATATGTATTGTTTCTCATGCTTCAAACACCAACAAAAGGTCAGTGGACGCTGAATAAGTAACGCAATTTCTGGTTGTGAAAATGATTCATGTCTTGCCTCTCCGTGGGGAACAGGAATCTTATAATCTCTAACCGGCCAATTTGACTTTTTTCCCCTCTGACACACAGCGTATTTTTCTGCTCAAGTCTTGATACCTTTTGTCAGCCAGAATCAGCAATGTGCACCAGCCAACACCTGCCCCACTGTGAACCTCATGCAAAATACGTATCGGCTTCAGCCCTGGCTGAAAGATTGTTCTACCAGAAGTTATACCCTCAGCACAAAGTTACGCATGTTAGATGTCAAATGAGCATCTAGTGACTTGTTGGGGTGGGGGGGGGATCAGTAAATGGGGTGGGGGGCATGGGGCAGTAAGCTGGGTCTTCTAGGAGCCGCGAGCACTCTTACTGAATGTCAGGGCTTCAGATGTCAAGATTGGTCACTTGGTTAAGGGAACCAGATAAAATGATTGATTTGGCAAGACCTGCCCGTGGCTGGTGTCTGTTGAACTGTGTCACACTGAGGTTTAACGCCACCAGAAGGGGAGAAACTGTAGCAATGGAAAGTCCTAAAGGTGCTTTATTTCCTAAAAAAAAGTTAACAACAATAATTTATGCCTGCAAGTCCAGTTCCTGTTGACAGATCTGTGTCCACATGGAGCAGTTTTGAGACATCTGGGCAATGAATTCTCTCTGCTATCCTGTTGTGTCACGACTGATAGTAGCAACAAACAGAAGTAAATAGTTGGTGTTGACCTATTATTACTGGCCACCAATGCTTTGTGAAGCATCCTGACCTGTTTCCTTCCTTATTTAGTGATTCTCCCTCTCTTTCTCTCTCTGCTGTTGTCGGGAGAGGATGGCGCCTCAACAGATAAATAAAACCGTTCTATCTCAGGTCAGGTTCAGTTCAGTACTCATCCCCAATTGGATTTGTTTACCACAATTTGGGAAATTAGTGCAGCAAATCTTTTGACCTGTGGTTATAACAGTACATTTATATGAAAAGCAAGGATTATTACAGAGCAGATTGATGTGTTTAGCTACCTTCACACTGAATTTAAACAATTCTTGTGTTTTGATTTCGTATTTTATTGGGGCATTGGTTTGCAATGTATCTGTGATGGCAAACCTCTTCCTTTGAAAATTAATAATAATAATAATTCTTGCATTAGATATCGTGCCTTGTCAAGTTGTTGAGATGTCTCATAGCACTTCACAGAATATATTACAAAGGCAGATGACTGTGTATTTGTGGGTGAAACTGGCAGCCAATTACGCACAGCAATGTCCCATGAACAGTTGTGAATTGAGTGACCATTTTATTTATTTTTTGGAGGGATTATTATCCCCGGAAAGCGATTCGCCAATCAACTCACAACCGGGTTCTTATTTACTGCTGGGTAAACAGAGGCGTGTGGAGTAAGGAAACTTGCCCAACGTTTCTCCCTGCCCAGGAATCGCTTACAAGGAGAGTTTATTTAAATTAACAACAACAACAACTTACATTTATATAGCACCCTTCATGCAGGGTAGCATCTCAGAACACTTAATTCAATTGCTTCGTTATTAATCTATGGGTTGAATACTAAACCTCACACACTATTAAAATGCAATCCTCTTACATGGACACAGATGCAAATAGCATTATTTAGCTATTCTCTTTGTATGACACACAGGTATTTGCCTTTATAATAAAATCACAGACTTGTCCTCCTTCTGTCGACGCCCCCAATCTAATCTCTCAGACAAAAAACATAATCGTGATATAATTAAGTGCTCTTGACTAAGATTGGAAAAAAACACATGCTATTGAAAGTGAACGGACTTTCTAAGCTGTTTTAAATAAGTGCAAATCCCACCTATCCAGTTTCACTTCACCTTTGAATTAAATTACAGCTACCACTGGTTAGCCAGATGCTTCAGATTTAACAAGGCTTTCTTTTTCTCTCAAACAATCAAAAAAAAGGAGCAGTAAATCCTTTTCAATCGTGCAGGCCAGACCGCCTCTGAAATATCATTCAGTGTCATAACCCTCGCTGCCACCGATCAGGAAGGGCAGATCAAATTTAATTTGGGAAAAAAATTGTGACCTCTTTATTTTCCCGCTTGTGATTAACTGGGAGCAGGTTTAGCCGCGCTCGATCCTGTGACACAATGGCTCGGAGGCAGGACAGCAGGGGAGAGAATTCTCCCAAATCGTGGGGGTCGTAAAGCAAAGAATAACAACTGCATCATTCTTCACATATAAACTACAAAGGCGGTCGGCGATGGAAATGTGCTGCACGTCGAAAAGGTTCATCTGTAACATGTGTTTGCCAGTGATTGAGTGAACCGTTCCATAAAATAAATGTAACATCTGCTGCGATATTGCAGGTAACAGCTGATAACAGCACTAAGATGATACAATACAACCTCATACAGAAACGCACCAAATCCTCTAAATTGCCCAATGGTCATTGTTGGAATTAGAGAGATTGGACTGAAGAGAATTCAGCCACATTGGGGCATTAGTCTAAGGTGCTTTACTCTGTCAAAGCTTAGATTTTTTTTTAAAAAAAGAGAAATGGATTGATTTATTTAAAAAAATAAATGAAATGATTTTGCAATAAGAACTTTCGGAACATCAAACCCCATTGAGTCAAGGCTCCTGATTACAGATGAAGAATATCTTTGTCTTAAAACAGTCTGGATCTCCTGGCTGGCTACGTCTTAATTGCAACAAAAGCTAACAACATTCCTTCCAGGAAGAAAGGAAATCTATCTATGTACAAAGGACCAGTATGGCTCCTGGGGGAAGAAGATTGGCACGTCTAGCGTCAAAGTTTTATTTGATGTACTTTCGTCTCCTCCGCGCCCACTGAAGGTTCAGGTAGGGGTCAATTTTGCAGCGTATATTGAAAAAGGACTTCTTATTTAAGAAATTAAGTAAGCCATCAGGACTTGCAACGATAACAACAAGCAACAACAAATTCACTGCCGTGCGCAATTGGCTGCCGCGTTTCGCCCACAAAAGATACAGTCAATTCACTTTACAGGACATTCTGTGAAGCGCTTTGAGACGTCTCAACGACGTGATAAGGCGTTGTATCAAATGCAAGGATTATTATTATTACATTTGTATAGCGCCTGTCACATCAGCAGGACACGTTTCAACCGGATTTATTTTATTTTTCAGTTTTCGGAATGGAGTTGCTACACGTTGGCGTGATGTGCTTTGACGCACTTCCGGAAAGAATCTACACTCGGATTTATTGCTCAAGAAATGCTGTTAAGAAACATCGCAAAATTGATTCACGTAGTTAGGAGAGCGATGGAACTACCTTATAAACCGCCTTGGGCCTACTGTCCCTCTATGTCTACTTCATTGAGTAATCTTCTCAACGAGTTTCCATCTCGCTTCTGGATCAGACGGTCGTGGGTTTAAGGCCCACTTTGGGACTAGGAATTTATATAGTGTAGGTTGACACTCCAATGTATTACTGGGAGTATCCTGGCCAATAATCCCTCAAATAAAATCATTCAATCACTTTAAGGCTATTTGTACGACCTTGCTGTGTGTAAATTGGCTGCCATGTTCATCCTGTGGAGTCCTGTAGCTCAGTGGTCAGAGCACTCACCTCTCAAGCGAGAGACCTGGGTTCGATTCCCGGCAGGGCGAAACCTTGGGCAAGTTTCCTTACTCCACACTCCTGGTAATAATCCCTCAAGAAAAAAAAACACAATGTTAAATTGGTCACTTCAATCCACGACTGTTTGTGGGACGCTGCAGTGTGCAATTGGCTGCCGCGTTTCGTCCACGAATATACAATCAATTCAATTTACGGTCTATTCTGTGAAGCGCTTTGTGACATCTAGAAGACATGAAAAGCGCTATATCAAATGTAAGGATTATTATTATATCCACAAAATACACAATCAAGCACTTTGAGACATTAGCTATTCAATTAACTAGGTTCGCCGATGTGAGAGACAACTGTAAGAATTATTATTACTAGATTCTCTTGATGAGACTCTCGACTCAATGGAGTTTTAATTTGTGAATCGTTCTGCCAGTCAGTTTTTGCTTTAGCTCTGGTCAAAGTGTCCCGACAGAAGGGTAGGCAAGACAAGATAGTGCAACTTCAAGGAGGGCCAACTAAGCCTCAGTAAACATTTCAGATTATAATGAAAGGGGAAATTAATGAAACAAAACAGAAAGGCTGTGGAAACTGATCTTCGGAAACCATAGGCGGGATAATCAAACTAATAGGACAACAGGGTGCACATGGGAATGATTTCCCCCGATTTAAATCTCGACTAACCTAGTTAACTGAATAATTTATACCACTTAAAATTAATACAACATCTCATTTTACAACAAAAAACTTCCGAATGCATGGAACAACATTTCAAGGCAGTATAATCCTTCTCTCTCACCCCCATCCGATATCTCCCATACCCTCCGCCACCCCCGTACAATGTTTAGCTCATGTTTAGCTCATGTTTAGCTCAAGGCTAATGTTAGCCTTTGAACACAAGACTGGAATCTCAACCGAGGTCTCATCTGCCAAGTGGATGTTTAAAATCCCATGGCACTATTTGAGAAGAGAAGGGAATTTCCCCCGATGTCCTGGCTGACAATCCCATAAATCAAATTGATCATTTGTTCGTGGGACATTGCTGTGTGCAATTGTCCTGTCGTGTTTGCCTACAAATACAAAGTGTGCAGAAATTAAAAATCACCTGGATCCAGATTTACTCTATTCATGTTGCACTTTAGAGCATCCGGTATTTGGCAAATTATTGGAATCAGTTTTAACTTTGAAGTTGTTTTATTCTCTATAACCTATTTCTTCCCTTTGCTGTGCCTCTGTAACATATGTTACATTAGATATGAGAGAGGAACCAATGACCCCAATCTCAGACTTTACCGAGTATTTTTTCCAGTTAGATGTATAAGAGCAACTCGAGGTGACTTGACCCCAGATTTTTCTATCTTTTCCTGAGGGGAAGTTCCTTATCTCGACTCAGCACATGTTTCTGATGGCTCTGAACTCAGTAACTCCCAACACAGGAGGTTCTAGGCACTAACACAGCCCAAAGCTGCTACAACAAGGTTCAGCTGCATAAACGTAGGAACGGGGAAAATAGAAATGAGCCAAGCTTTCCATTCCTGATCACAATCCAGTGCTCTCTTCTGGTAAATGTGGAAACGCGGACATTGGGTGAAGATCAAAGCTCCAAGCAAAAACCATAGCCTCCACAGTTGAGAAAACTCTTGTGCCAGGCTGGCTCAGTCGGTAGCACTCTCGCCTTGGAGTCAAAAGGTTGTAGGTTCAAACCCCAATGTGGAGGGGTTGGAACCCTTGTAATCTATGCTGACACTCCAATGCAGGGCTTCTGATGAGATGTTAAACCGAGGTCCCGTCTAACTGTCCAGTTAGATATGCCACAGGACACTATTCAGAAAGTGAACGTAGTTTCTCTCTCGGTGTCCTGGCCAACAATTCTCCAACTAAAATTGGTCACTCACTTCATGACTGTTTGTGGGACATTGCTGTGCACAAATTGGCTGCAGTATTCACCCCCCAAAATGCACATAGTCACATCAACGTTATAGTAAAATCCTGCAAAGCCCAATGAGTCTTCTCCACAAACAGCTGTGGAGCGAGCTGCACTTGTTCATGTCCACACAGGCTTGTCAAACGTGTGACAAAAGAGGACAATCTCATTTTAAAGTGTGCATTTTGTCAACATTTCTCAACTCAGTTGCGAGAGGAACAATGGTGTGGTTTCAGATTTTAAAATGTTTTTAAATCTCCCCAGTGTTATTTTGCACACTTCCTCCCCCATTGAAGTGTCTCTCCTTTTGTGTTCATCTTGAAAAAAATTCTTTGCTCGGGGAAAAAATGTAGCGCAAGGCTCCTTCTCTGCACAGTGATCTGCTCTGTGTCATCCATCAGCTTATTACAGTAAAGAACACAATTGATTATCGCCATACTTTCACTGACGTGTTAAGTGAGCTGTGTAAGAGATAAGTCCTTTAAAGTGGGGGTTGGTGGGGTGGGGGGGTTGCAGTGTTAGACACTGCAGCTCACCATGTAATGGTGTTCAGTACAGTTACTTACTGAACTCAAGGGTGGAAGTGTTACTGAGGATAATTGCTGAGCTGGCCCAAAGCGTTTCCTAACAAGGAGAGCTTTCGGCTCTCATGCTCCTACTCAGGGCTGAATTCACAGTAACATTGAGGCAAGCTTGGATAGGAAGTGACCAATTTGCCTCTTTGTCCCGAGAATAGATAAATAGGAGTGTCTGAGTCTCACGATAAACAAATGTCTTCTGGGATATCGCTGGGAAAAGTATACATTACAAATGTGTGTTAGATGACCCGTCAACAGTGGGAGAACAAGCCTAGGTTTGTGGTAAATACACAGAATCCTTAATCGCTCTCACACCTTCTGAAAGGAAATCTGCAATCCACGACTGTTTGTGGGACGCTGCTGTGCGCAAGTGGCTTCCGCGTTTCACCCACAAAATATACAGTCACTACACTTTACAGTATATTCTGTGAAGCGTTTTGAGACGTCTCAATGACATGATGAGGCGCTATATCAAATCCAAGTATAATTATTATTATTATTTTTATAAACACCCCTGCTGACCATGTGGGCCAAATAGCCTGTTCCCGTGCAGTATAATTTCTATGTAAATCTATGAATGGGAAAGTTTCTAAAAATAACCATGTGACAATGCGCGAGTGTGGTCTGGTATTAATTAAAGGCTATCTTCAGAACTGATGCATGCAATTAGCCTCTATTAAAACAAATAAAAACACATGAAAACTCAATGCGGAAACGCTAGTCGTAACATGATGCAGAAGACCCACTGAGACAGAGCCCACCTAGAGCTGTAAATCACTGCTTGGGATCTGATAGACAAGTGGAACTACATGCCAAGAACACCAACTGCAACATAATAAGTATGTACAATAACACAAGCAATTCACAGAGGCGTGGATGAAAAACCTTGGAGGAATGGGTGGTGCTGTGGTTCAAAACACTCTCCATTTTCCTCAAAGACCAAATGGGGTTCAAAGAGAGAGAATATTCATTTCTCTCTCTCTCTTTCTCTTTCTCTCTCTGGCTGTAAGAATCTTGCAGTTTCAGCCAGGGGAAGGATTTTCATTCCATATCTACATTGTATGCCAGCCTGGCTCAGCCGGTAGCACTCTCACCTCTGAGTCAGATGGCTGTTGGTTTGAGCCCCCCATCACGACTTGAAGCTCATATATCCTGGGCTGATAATTTGTGGGGAGGGGGTGAGGGGTTGCTGAATTGTTTGAGGTGCCGTTCTTCAGAGGAGGTGTTAAATTGAGCTCCCATCTCCATGTTCAGGTGGATGTTAAAGATCCCATGGTACAACTTGAAAAGAGAAGAGGAAAGGTAACAGAGGGTACGGGGAAAGAGTTGGGATTAGAGTGAATGGGTTCTTGGAGGGCCAAAAAAAATAGCCAAATAGCATTCCACTGCATGATAACTTTCTACGGTCCTGAAATCAAGAAAAATCATAATTTCAGTCTTAAACTATGGGCTGCTTATTTGATGTGAACACCTCGGCACTTAACCAGTAGCCATAAGTGACAGAAGCAGAGTGTTAATTTGAAAGTGGGAGAAAATGGAAAATTAACAGCTTTTTTTTAGGATTAAATCTTGATTCCTTTAAAATGTTGTTTCATGAGCGCAATTTCACAGTGCTACAAACCCACATAATCAATTCCCAACTGTGGATGAGACTGCCAGTCGCTCGCCTGAAAGCTTTCCACCTGAATTTGCCTTGTGTGGGATGGAGAAATTATTTGCCCACCCTTATGCAATGTAGAAAAGCAACAATTTGTGCATCAGTGGGCCACACAAAGACATTTTGACTAAAACATTAATAACTTGGCTTTAAAGCCTAACCCAACCTGGCTGTTTGCCATAGAAAACAGTAGGAAATTGATGTAAAAATGCACCTATTTTTCTCCTTTCTTTCCATGTTAGCTGGTGTTCCTGGCAATCGCGCCAGGCCTAGCATGTCTGAGATGAAGCTTTGTTTACCTGGGAATGCGTTCCTCCTGTTTTTACTTAAATCTATATATAAATATATAGGAACATAGGAGGAGGCCATTCAGTCCCTCAAGCCTGTTGTGCCATTCTATAAGATCATGGCTGATCTGTACCTCAACTCCAATTACCCGCTTTTGCCCCATATCCCTCGATACCCTGACCTAACAAACATCTCTCAACCTTAGTCTTGAAAGTTTGAATGGATCCAGCCATAATCCACAGGCATTTGGATTGGTGGGGGGAGAGTTCCAGATTTCCACTGCCCTTTGTGTGGAAAAAAAAGCTTCCTGATTTCACTCCTAAATGGCTTAGTTTATTCCTCCTTGTTCTGAAAGCCTCCACCAGAGGAAATAGTTTCTCTG